CTCATATTACCAAGAAAGGTGAAACTGTTATTAGCAACTTAAAGAATCTGATGCTGTTATTTCTGATCATTTTGTGCTGCACTGTGATATAGACGTGGCTAAACCTCGCAACGTGAAGTCGGATATTTCGTATCGAAAGCTGCGAGACATTGATACCTTAAAGCTTCGTCAAAGCATCCTTAGTTCAGAGTTATATGCAAAACATGTATCCAATTTTTAAGAGCGTTGTGATCAGTATGACTTAGTATTATTAACGTTGCTTGAATGCCATGCCCACTTCGTAAAAAAAGACCATTACGATCCGACCGATGGCCCCATGGTACACTGAAGATATTAAAGAACAGAAAATAGTACGGCGAAGCAAGGAACGAATATGGCGTAAAAGTGGCCTACAAGTTGATAGACAGGCGTATGTGACCAGTGTATCCGTGTTAAAGACACAATTAGCGAAGCAAAAATAGAATATTATTCATCGCTTGTGCAAGATGCTGGTACTGACAGCAGACGTCTTTTTCAGATCGTTAATCGATTCCTTCATAGCAAACCTGAAAAGCTATACCCTGCATCTACTCTTTCACAAGGTTAGCAAACCAATTTGCCCATTTCTTTGACAATAAAATTTCTAAGATCTAACAAGATCTGCAAATTCCATCGTCAGGGAATACCTTGCTTTTCTCACAGCTGGATAGTCCAAAGTTAACTTGCTGTTTGTACAGTTTTACTTATACCACAACTGAGGAGTTATCAGGAATTCTGAAAAAAAAACTAAATTAAAGTCCTGTGTGCTAGATCCTATACCAGAAAAGGTACTCTCTTCTAACATTAGTAGTGATGTATAGCGGATATAGTGGGATTCGTGGGAAATTATAGTGGGATTTCGTGGGAAATTATAGTGGGATTTTGTGTGACGTAATAAATCCACGCGTTTATATATTGATCCACGTGTTTTTATAACACGCGAGGAAAGCGTGGATCCACGTAGAGTAATGACGTCATATACACGCACGTGCTTTTATTTTTATGCACGTGTCTTCATAATTAAACACGTGTTTATAGAATGTTTAAATGTTGTTTACTTTTATATTTTTTCATTTCGCGATGGCTACTGTTTACGGTATTATGATTGGTGGTATGGTAAATCAAATTCAGAATCTTATAATTAACATTAAGAATCCTACGAGATGTGATATTAAAGGTATATTTTATCGTCACCATCGAACATATGTACGATCCTTGGACGTTGATTCTTTACTTACATTTATTTGTTTTTTGAGAGTCCATTTGCTTAGGAATGGGCTTGTACAGGCTTTGAGACCTACATTTATATATATGATTTATCATATGTTGAGTAAAAGTATCGGGGAGATTCTTCAAGAGTATGCATCAATACATCCAGGGGAGTATTGTATTGAGATTCCTCTTTATTATACAAGTTATAGTCGTTATGAGGATTTGACACGTTATGAGGAATATATTGATGTATGGAATAATGTGAAGAAGTATAAATCTTCAAAACCCATATATGATGTTTTAAGATTTCCAAGGGGGATGTTAAATTGTGATTCAATTATTCAAATTCAATGTATCAATTGTTGATTTGGTGGAGATGTTGATTAAGGAGGGGGTTATACCTCAAGGACTTGAGAAGAAGGAGAGTTTGACTTTACATAGGATTTTATTAATGCAAATTGTGATGGAGGTTATGGAGGGAATATATGTACCTCCAGCAGTTCAAGATAGAAGTACTTTTGTTTATCATATGAATGCAAAAGAAATGTTACTACCTGAAGTGCAAAGAAGAAATGAAGATCGTATTCAGAGTTTGGAGAAGAGTAGTGGAGTTAGTTTAAAACATTTTCATAAACTTGAAAAATCATCTCATCAGAATATCACGTGTTTTTTTAAATATTCACGTGTTTTTATGTATATAATAGGATGTTTTAAGAAATATTATGTTAGTTGTTACAACCATGAATGTAATATATGATGAGCTTTGTAAAAACAATATAGATATTGATGTTTCAACTTTAACATTTCATATTGGTGAAATTGATGGAAAATATAATGATACCTATAATGAAATCTTGAATGCTTTGACATATGAAGATTTATTTAAGATATGGGAGTTAACATTAGTACATGCTGCTGGGGGTATTACTGATGAGGAGAGACGTAGAGCTGTAAGAATTACGGTACCTGTATTAAGGAGTGTTAATATTCAACCATTTAAAGAACGTGCAATTAAAAAGAGGATAGAGATGTGGATTCGTTTTGTCAGCGGTCAACGAATGAAGATTGCGATTCCTATATGTATAGTTATAGGATTATTCTGTAAATTATTATTATAAAGAGTGGGACACATTGTACTTTTATTTCATTATATTTTTACTGTCACTATGGATGTAAGGTTTAAAGTACCTGCAAATTTTTATATATCGGGACAAAGTCAGTGTGGAAAATCATATTTAGTACGTCAAATATTATGTCATATTAATGAAATGTTTTATCCTGTTCCTTCAAAGATTATTTATTGTTATGGGGAGTATCAAAAGGAGTTTGACGATTTACATAATGTGGAGTTTGTTGATGGGTTCCCCTCTGATTTAACTGAGATGACAAAGGGACATGATCAATCATCAGTGGTTTTGGATGATTTAATGAGCGAGTGTTCAAATGATCAACGCGTGTCTGATTTATTTACACGTGGTTCACACCATAAAGGCATCTCTGTATTTTATTTAACACAGAATTTATTTCCTCCGGGGAAATTATCAAGAACAATTAGTTTGAATTCTCACTATTTTATTGTGTTTAAGAATCCTCGTGATTCTTTAGGGATTTCAACATTGGCGAAACAAATGTTCCCAAAACGATCACAGTATTTATTAGACTCTTTTAATAATGCAACGAAACAACCTTTTACTTATTTATTAATTGATTGTCATCCCCAGACTCCTGAGAATATTCGTTTGCGTACAAATATTTTACCTGGGCAGAGACATATTGTATATATGCAAAGGTAAAAGAGAGTTTATATCATTTTGAGTAAAGATGACTTCGAGGAACATATCTGTGTTTATAGCCGGTAATTCAAGGAAGCTGAGTTTGAGAGAACCTTTTTTAACCCAAGAGGGATCTTCTATTACAGTAAAACAAGTTACAGTATTTTGTAAGTTTAAGAATATTACAAACGATAATAATAAAATCAGCGTGGCTACAAAGACTACACCAAGTGTAACTAAAGAGAAAACACTTCAAGAAGGATATTGGGATTTTCAATTATTGAAGGAACGTTTAAAATTGGAACATATTACGCTTTCATCCTATGTTCATGACAATACGTGTGATGTTAATTTTGATTCTTCAAAATATACATCTGTGAATTTAAAGAAGTTTGGTCAACTTCTAGGTTTTCCAGAGAACTACATATTGAGAAAAAATGAGAAGTCACCAAAACCGGTGGATGTGAATCATGGTTTACGATATCTTAAAGTATCGTGTGATCTTGTAGATTCCGTGAAAAATGTTGATGTTGAAGGGAGGAAGAGTACAGTTCTTGCATATTTACCTATTACTCCTGGTACTAGATTGAATTCATCTATCTCTAAATATTCTGATGAGAATTATCCTGCTATTCCTATTGAATCTGATATTGTTTCCGAGATAACATTTACAATTGATTCAAATATAAATGTTCCTGTGGATGTTGATGTATTTTTAAATCTTACGATTAATATATAATAAAACGGTTTCTTACCAAAATGTCATTTACAAGATGTCAGAGTATATAGCAAGAACTCTTCCGTTTATTCAAGTGTTAGCAAAATCAAAACCGCAAATACAAAAAGCAATTTTTCAATACGGCCCTCCCGATTTAATTTTAGCTGTTAGTGAGATTGTTTTAAATGCCCTTAAAGGGGTGATACGGTTAACTTCACGTCAGAAACGTTATTTGACACGTTACAAGGAACAACTACGTGCATTAGTAAAGAGGAACGTTTCACTTAAGAAGAAGAGGAAATTTTTAGTTCAAGAGGGCAGGGGTGCTGTAGCGTCGATACTTTTACCGCTGGCCTTATCTATTTTACTTAAAAATCAAGGTATCTCAGTATGAGTGCAAAACGTTTTGTGTTAATAACAGAGGAAAAACTTGCGCGACTTGAAAAACTTGAGAATGAACAAAAAGGAGGACAGATTGAAAATTCAATGGAACCAGAGAGCGAATTAACAGATGATGTAATTGTACGTGGAATTCCTAAAACTATGAAAGCTAGAGCTTTAGCTCTTTTGGAACGTTTGAGATCTAGAGCAGAGATTATCTCATGGGATAATACAGGACAGGTCAAAATAGACGGTGTTTTTATTCCTAGGAGCAATATCTCCGATTTAATTTCAGATGCTATGAGATCGCGTAAATCATTTAATCCTGTGGGTGTACATGAGTTTTTTCAAGCTTTGAGTAAAATTAATGTTCCTAGAGATTTAGTAAGAAATGAAGAAAGATGGAAAAATACAAGGGATGAAGATAAAAACATAAATAATACTCAAAAGAATAAACGTGCAGAAATTGAATTATAGTAAATGTCTGAAAGGTAATCATCCATCGTTTTCTTCTTCTTCTTCTTTAATTGCAGGTATATCTGGAGTTAGACATATAGATCCTTCTTCCTCTTCAATTATGGGCTCTTTAAATTCTTCCTCCTCTTTTATAGGAAGTAGTCTCTGACCTATTTGATTTTGTTCAATAGGTTTATAATCTTTATTTATTTTCAAAGAGTACCCCACTTGAAAATTACCTTCTGTCTTTAAATCTTTATGACCTAAACTTATTCCTACTTTACATGCCCCATGTTTTTCTATATTCTTATTTAAACGTGCTTTTGATTTTTTTGCTCCCATGTTTACAACGTGAGGTTTTATTCATTTTGAAATAATATATTATATGTATTCTTCTTAAGTAAGGGTTTTTAAACATTTTACTCATTTATAAACCACTCATAATGAAGAGAGGATATCCTTACTATAGCGGTAATCTTAACTTTGGGTATGAGTATCAATATACCCCAAAGGCAGCAAAAGGAGGTACAGGTACAGGTACAGGTAAAATTGGACCACAAGGACCACAAGGACCTCAAGGACCACAAGGACCGCAAGGACCAAAAGGACAACGTGGGGAACAAGGGGTACAAGGACCAAAAGGATCAAAAGGCGATCCCGGGGCTGTAGGACCTCAAGGACAACAAGGACCTATAGGACCACAGGGACTACGAGGACTACAAGGACTACGAGGACTACAAGGTCAAATTGGTCCTACCGGGGCACAAGGACCCACAGGACAACAGGGACCCCAAGGAATTCCTGGTACTGCTGCTGCAAAAGGTGACCCTGGCCCTCAGGGACCTCAAGGACCCGCAGGACCAACAGGATCTCAGGGACGCACAGGTCAGCAAGGACAACAAGGACCTGTAGGACCACCAGGACCTACAGGACCACCAGGTAGAGACGGGCCTGTAGGAAATACAGGACCGCGAGGTACACAAGGGGATGAGGGACCTCGAGGATCACAAGGAGAAAAAGGATCACAAGGAATAAAAGGAGATAAAGGAGATAAAGGACCCCAAGGCAGTACAGGACCCCAGGGTCCAAAAGGAGATAAAGGTGATAAAGGTGATAGAGGTCTTAAAGGAGATAAAGGAAATAAAGGTGACGTTGGTGCTGTAGGTCCTGCAGGACTTATAGGAAAACCCGGATCTCAAGGACCAAATGGGCCACAAGGACAACAAGGACCACAAGGACCTCAAGGTATTCCAGGTACAGCTGCAGCAAAAGGTGATCCCGGACCGCAAGGACCACAAGGACCACAAGGACCACAAGGCAGTAAAGGCAACATTGGCAATATAGGTCCCGCAGGACCTACAGGACAACCAGGTCCACAAGGACCACAAGGACCACAAGGCAATACAGGCCCCCCAGGCAATACAGGCCCCCCAGGTATTAAAGGAGATAAAGGAGATAAAGGAGATAAAGGCAACATTGGTAATGTAGGTCCCGCAGGACCTACAGGACCACAAGGTATTCAAGGTATTCGAGGACGGCAAGGAGAGCGTGGTCGTGTAGGACCTCTTGGACCTGAAGGAAGACGCGGTCCTACAGGTCCTGTAGGTCCTACAGGTCCCTCAGGAAATTTTAGTACATCGGAAAAACGTCAAATTGTGATGGTTGATAAAGATTTTGAGAAGATAAAATATGTTGATACTCAAGGAACAAGTAGAGGTACTTACAGTACTTTTAATTTTATTGAGAGTGGTAGCGAAAAACCTTATTGAGACGGAAAAAATTTAAAAGTAACCAGAGAAAAAGATGGAAGAAAAGTTCCTCTTTTAGGATCACGAAAAGGTCTAGAAATAAATATGGGGAGCAACTCTGGTAATAGTTTGACAAACCTCTTTCTTTATGTTGCTGATACCGATAAAAATCAATATGGAGTAATATTTGCTATTATGTTTCATGGTAAAACAAAGCACGGTCTACGAGGTAGTTTAAGCTTTGATGTAGTTGATGAATTAGGAGCTTCTTTTCAGTCAAAATCAGGGACAATAAAGCATATTGGAACAATAAAAGTGAATGAAGAGACCTATGATTACTATTTAGCACGGACACCAGTAATAGATTTTAATGTATCACACTTCAAAGTATCGCTTCTCTTTACGACTTTAAAATTGGACGACCCCGTTAATGGTAATAACGGTAAAATGTCATTAACCGTTTATGAAGGATTCAAATTTGAAAATCTCTCAGCATCAAATTATCAAAACTCCGATCTACAGAATAATCGTTTTTTTCCTCATCAAAGTGGTTTTGATAAACATAAATTTGCCGATGTTATGGTTGGGGATACTCTTCTTGCTGGCAAGAAACAGACAGATGGAACTATTATTCCTAATGATACATTAAAAATAGGAATAATGAATCTAGCAGATACCTTAAAAAATCTCATTGCAAAACTTACCAGTGATGCAAAAGTTGCATTGGATCTAAATGAAACGGTAATATCTGTTCCAAAATATTACTTTGTCTCACCTGAGTCAACAAGAGGTGCTAATAGCTGGTGTTATGAAAAGGTGGATTTCAATGGATGGCCTAATCGGATATTCCCAACACATGATACAAAATTGGTAGAACTTTTATTTTGCACGCAAATATTTGATAATGATGCAACCCTTCCTACAAACTTAAAATTTAACTTTAGAGTAACAATTTATAACGATACTACTACCACAACAACAACAGCTACTTTAGGTGAGATAGATTACTCTGATAAATTACTATATAGAAGATCGGGGTCTGGAAGAATATTCCTTTTGGATAAGACATTTAGTTTCCAGCCAGCACTTTCAGATATAGGATTCACTCTTGAATGTAAACAAACATCCCCGACGTCTCCCTTAATAGGTAACGAATCAAATTTAATATTTAAAATTTATTATAAGTAAAAAACAAATGTATGAATAAAAAAGACAATTGAAACAAAATGTATATAAAATATTTTTAATAAAGAACATTTTCAATAAAGAACGTTTACAATAAATAATATATAAGTATCAATATTACATAATCAATAAGTATTTTTTAAACAAGTACTTCAGGTCCTGGAGTACTAGAGGAGACACTAGCACTACTATTACTCTCAGGCATTTGCTTTATTATCTTTATTAAACGAAGAATTGTTCGCATCATCAAATCTGTTTTCTTCTCTAGTCTTTCTAAAACTTCGAATACTGGAGAGTCAGAGTCTTCATTCCATGATGATGGTGGTGATGGAGGTACTAATTCTGATGTTGAAGGTATTAACAACGGCGATGATGGAGGGGGAGGAGGAGGTGGATTATCTTCTTGCATTTTTTCTTCTCCCTCTTTTGTTTTTTCTTCTTCTTCTGTGTCATTCATACCAATTGATGTTAAATGCACAAAATGTGCAATAACATGGTATAAATCATCATTTACATTGGTAAAATCACTTGAGAGAATATTTGGAAATTTTTTCGCAATATATTCTGTTCTCATTTTTTTCGAAATTGTAAAACATGGTACTGTATGTCCATGAAGTATTTCTTTATCTCTCATTCGTTTAAGGAATGAACGTAAAGGAGTGCCAGAGAATTCCTTCTTTTCTTCCCACCATATGAGTACATCATGATGTACTCGAGACGAACTCTTAACGATCCAATTATGTTTACTCTTTTTCCTTTGTAAATAATCTTGAATATCTTTACAAAGGCGTTCCTCTCTGAACGTAACAATTACGTAATGTGTAGCATTCATGGTGAAGACAAAAAACAAATGAAGTAAAACTAACACAACAACTTTTATTTATACATATATATCTACACGTGTTTATTAATTTCTACACGTGCCTCTTAATATCTTTGCGTGTCTTTTTAAAATCCATATGGTATTGTTTTAAAATCATTTATCAAGACACGCTTATCGTAAATTATACGATAATCTTTTTTCATCTCTTTGGTAACAATGTTCTTTCTTTGCTTATCTCTTGTAATTTTGAAAGGGTTAGTAACGGTGATTTTTGCCTTTACTTTACATTCTGCATGTAAATATACAAGAGCTCGAACTGTACTTGGGTTTATCTTTTTGTTAACAGAATGATTCAATGTGATACCACGAATCTTTGTCTCCGACTTATTATCGTTAGTGTAATAGGCGTAATTCTTCGGTCCTCCTGACATAAAGGTTGTAATATACTTTCCATTTAATTCGTCGGTAAGATCTCCCAAATAATTCCCCAAAGGAGGTTCCAATTCATTCTCTTTGGATATATAAATAACCGAGTCGGTATCATAATAAAGTGCACGTTCGCCTAATATATCCAAAAGATCATATAATTTCAATCGAGCATACGCCGTGGTGAAAGCCGCAATAACGACGTTCGTCTTGTTATTAGTCTCCAGAAATTCATCAATGTTTTTGTATTGCACCTCTAACATATTATCATTCACTATCTTTACATCACGGATTTCATACTGATCAGAGGACAGAAGTTCAAAATATCTCTGAGGTTCTGTAACCATCTCGGTCTTTGATACATTTGAACGTTGTGCAAATTTACCTATACAATAAAAATTATAAATTATATTTTTATTATTATTTTTTAATATATTATATTATTTATACATACCCCAAAACGAGTTTAACATTAGCTTTGCCAAAGCACGTAAACCTGGATTGTGTTCAATCTTCTCCATTTCTAATTTTATATCTTCATGTTCTTGATACATGTTAATATAAGATTGCTTTTGCTCTTCTGTAATACAATCCTTAGGGAAACCGCTTGCTTCTTGCTTTATCTTTAGGAATGTGTTAACATAATCTTTAAATAGATTATCGGACTGTTTCGGAAAATGCCACACCTCGTGTATCTTTAAAACTCTATACCCCTTCTCGATGGCTTTCAATAACTCAACATGACACCATGTCCCAAGAATAGACCTTTCTTGTTCGGAGTGTGTACATGGATTCTGATTGAAAGAGATGGCACAAGCTTTGCATAAAGGAAACAATAACTTACCAGGAACGCGATATGGAAGAACCGGGTGGAATAAACCTCTTGGATGTAATACAGTACACTTTATAAGACCAAAATATGTAGAGATATCTCTAAAATTTTCTGTGATAATTATTGGATGTCCCACAATTGTTTTCGTTGATTTATTGCACCATGGGTATAAACTCGTGAAGTCAACGTATCTAAAAATAGAAATGACGTAATAAAATAAAAATTTTTTTAGGAAAAATATAATATAAAAAATATATACCTAATCTTTTCATTATCTTTGCATTCATGAAATAACTTTGTAGCATTCGTACGACCTCCATAAAATGCATCACGTGGTTGAAGAGGATCAACAAGATCAAAATTTTCAAAATACACACGCATCTCTTCATCTTGTTCCAAGTCCCTCTTTAAATCACACTCCCACATTTCTATTACATTATATCCACACTCTTTAAGATAGAGATTCTTCTTTAATGTGGCCTCAAAGAGATCACTCATCGTTTTTCCATTAACAGGGTTAACTGTATCGCGAGTATAACATTTTTCACATCCTAAAATAAATAATAATTATTATAATGGTCAGCGGTAAATCATAATAATAATAATAATAATAATAATTACCATGCCATATGCATCCTTGAAATTCATATACTGTATTTAATTCAGGATTATATCCGTCCAATGAGTATTTATTAACACGTTTCTCCCCACCATTCCTTCCATGTTGAATAAAAATCTCTTCCTTCTCTGATATATATGATAACCACTTAAATGCCATGTTAGATTGTTTCACTTTCATTTGATAGTCATTTTGAAAGATTCCTATAGTCTCCTCCTTAAGGAAATTAGTGCGAAAAACCAAATTACACGCACTAGCAATAGTTAAACACTTCTCAAAAGGATCAATATCTGTAATACTTCTAAATAGTTCACGAAACTCCATACAACATCGACGTAAAATGTCAACATCGGAACGACAATACTTTATAATTTCCTCTTGAAAATTGAAAACATAATTTTGTTCTCTCTTCTCTTTATGCCATTTTATAAATGCATTACGTGCTTCCTCTTTCATTCCATTTGTATTATAAAATGCTTCACATGGTATAGGTCCAATGTAATCTTCATTTGCTCTTCGATTGAATAAATGAGGGAAGTATCCTTTACACATCTCATTCATTCCAAATGTTTTAGGAAAATTTGACAATGACATAGGGATAAAATTTAAAGAGTCTATAAATTTTATATTGAACATCGGAACAGTTAGACTGAGAATTTTTGCATCGCGTAATATTATATCATATTTCACAGCATTCTCATTTAAAAAGTTTTGAATAAAATAGCCATCATATCCTTGGAAATTATGTGCCATAAATATACAGTCTCGATGTTCCTTTGTAAAAATCCATTCACAAAATCTTGAATTAGTATCTTCACCTTGAAAGATCCACTCATCCCCGCTCTCATTATGAACAATACATAAATTAGTTTTATGTACACCTTCATCTTCTTGTCGTGCCTCATAGTCAAAGAAGAACAATTCATTATATCCTTCCACTTTCTCATTCTCTTCTTTTTCTTCTTCTTCTTCTTCTTCTTCTTCTTCTGTTAGATTTAAATGTTTATTCTTTGAATCGGGCTTTCTCATGTAACATAAATGATTATTGATATCGTCAATAATAGCTTTACATGTTTTACATTGAATTTTTCCGCATAGATGATTCTTTAAATTATACTTTGTCATAGATCTTCCACACTTTGAACACTTCCTTATTCCATCACATACAGATTCAACTTTCCTCATAGGTTTCTTGTGATTATTATAACATGTTTCACTTTTGAATGTTCTACCACACTCATTACAATCCACCGGTGAAACAAAAGGACAATTTATAGCACGACAACATCTGCACATGGAAGGACATAAATGAAGCTTGACATCAGCATACCCTTGTCTGCATGTATGGCAATATTAATTATGACCAAAGAGACCTGGCATAGAATTAATCACATCGTAATGATTATTATGTAGATATAAATAAACTCGTTTCACATCCTCCCTCGAATTAGATTGATGAGGATATATAATAACATTTCCATGATCAGCTGAAACAATATTTATCTCATATTCGGTAAGATAATTCTGAAATAATTTAACTTCAGGAATTCCACATGGCCCTTTTGGTACATTTGCCTTCCTGTGTAAATCCTCGGCCATTTTCCTTTGAAGTGCACTTCGGCTATCTTTTATGAGATAATATTTCTCATTCTTTTCAATTTTTGCTATAGCCACAATAAGACCTCTAGCAAGACATAAATTATCGTTATTCTTTATAACGACTACTGACTTTTTTGCTTGTAGATGTTCGTAAAGTTTAATGTGGTTTCTTCGCTTAAGATTCCCTGATCCCGATGGCATTTCAACATGAACAATATCTGCAATTACCGTATCATTTAAATTGAAATGTTGATTGGACTGTACCACACGTTCAACTTGAGAAAAAATTCTCTCTGGAATAAAGCGAGAAACTTCCATAAATGGTAACGATATAGGTTTACTTAATTGAGGTGTACGTAAAACAAAACGTACTTGATCATTCTCTTTCATTCCATTAGTAATATCATTAATTAACTGTTCAAAAATTTTTTGTGTTCTTTCATACTCTTGAATAATGTTAAGCTCTTCATTCTCATTACTAAAACGAACTTTGTAATCAATGCCTTTCGTTTTAAACTTCTTCGATTTAACTTCATTAATCTTCTCTATTACGTAATTAGAAACATCGTTTGTTTTGCCCTGTTCTATATCCATACTTGTACTTGCACCTTCGTTTACATTATCCTGCCCCCCAATTTGTTCATCGTTATTCATCTCATCAAAATCCCGCTTTTGTCCGCCCGAACCGACTTGTATATTGTCCAACTCCCAAATCCAATCATCATTGTCATCGTCAATCAAGCGCAAAAAATTTTTATCTGAATTAAAAATTGTATCGTCATCTATTTCCCAAATCCATTCATCATTGCTATTATTAAATTCGTCAATCTCCCTTTGTAAATCGTCCTCCATCCCCACGATAAAATTGAGGTGAAACATCGACTGCTCTGCTTATATAGATAAAATAACACGTGTTTATATTTTACTGAACGTGCTTTTATTTTAGTTTAAGTGTTTTTATTTATCTGCACGTGTTTTAATTTTAGAACGCAAGTTAATTTTAAAAAAGCACGTGCTTTCAAAAAGTATAAATACAAGAGGACGAACTAGTTCTGCACAAGTTCTCAAGACAAGTCAAAATGAAGTGCTTACATAATAAAGAAGCTAAAGTTCTGCCAAATGGAAAGTTTTGGGTTTGCAACCAAGTAGATAATTGTAATTTTATCTGCTCTGAAGGAGACGGTTTCCTTTATGAAAAAGGAATCGAAAAGTTCTTATCGACCTCGCAGAAACAACCCCTCTGTTGTGAAAATAATTTGGCAAGAATACGTATAGTAAAGAACCCAGAAAAAGAATCATACGGACGACCCTTCTTCGTATGTTCAAAGAATAAAGACCCATGCAAATACTTTCAATGGGGTGATGAAATAATAATGGAACGACCCAAATGTCACCATGAGAAAAAAACAAGAAAACAAGTGGTAAAAAAAGAAAGTGAGAATAAAGGAAGATTTTTCTTCTGTTGCCCTGAATCACCAAAGAAAACCTGCAACTTCTTTCAATGGTGCGAGCCACCAAATCCACCACCCAAAGGAACCCCACGTAGATTAATCCCAAAGAAAGTAGAAGGACCTGCCACCCCAGCGCCGAGACGTAAGCTAAACCCTAAACCCGAACTTGAAGATTACAGCGACGACGATCTACATATAATCCCACCAAGTCAGAATCGCTCATACATCGGAGACTACGCAAACGGTAGTAGTGCCTTTGGTTTTTACCCACAATATTACCGACGCTATGACGAGCAAGAAAAACCATTGAAAAAAAGAAAGAAAATTGTAAACTATAGCAACGATGAAGAGGACGGTGATGATGAATCTACTTTCACATAAAAACTTTTTATATTCAAAAACTTTATATATCTTTGTAAAACTTTTCTTTGTAAAACTATTAATAAAAAATATATATTAAATAAAAATTTTTTACACATCTTAAAAAATTTTTTCACACCCCCATTAAAAATTTTTTTCACACCCCCCTTAAAAATTTTTTTCACACCCCCCTTAAAAATTTTTTCACACCCCCCTTTTAAAAAAACTTCTTCATACCCCCTAACTACCCAAAATCAATGATGTCATTCTAACTCAAAATCAATGATGTAAGGGGAAACCCCAAATAATAACAGTAATAACAACATGTCTTTTTTCAAATATATATTCTTCAATAAAAACATATTAACAACAATAAAAAACATGTTTTAACAATATTAAAATGTCTTTTTACTTTTTAAAAAGCCATAACATCGTTCTCAAAGTTAGCATCATCGCCGAAACACTCAAAATCTAAAAGTTCTACCTCGAAATCGAAGTCCGTAATATACTTCCTTATGTCTTCAAACGGATCCGCCGCGTTTGTTTGTGTTTGTCTAACATCCTCCTCCGGCAAATCAGGTAATGCCGAGATAAAAGCTAACTCGTCAAAAGATAAATCATTGTTGTTATCATGGTCAATCATCATTTCGTTTTGGGTAGACACCGCTTCGATTTCCGCTGCCGGTTTATTTACTTCGCTTTGGGTAGGTTCCGCTTCGATTTTCATTGCCGGTTTATTTGTCTCGCCATTTAAATCATTTAAATCTCTCTCCAGGTGCTGAATCTCCTCTTGAATTTGGTCTTCGATACTCATAATGTCATTTATTTCATCTATAGAATTATTTAACGAAGTCAAATCGATCGTGCCGTCGTTGAATAAATTCATTCGCCAATCCATAGTCTGTGTAATATCTTTCACATGCGGGTTCATCTTTGAAACCTCGCGAAAAACTTTCGAATACTCAAAAAATATTTTGGAGTATTTCCTCTTTATCCAAACCCTTAAAGGTTTATTGAACTTCTCTTCGCTCTTTATTTTTTCCTTCCTTATTTTCTCCCTCTCGTTTTTACTTAAAGTGCCTATATCACTTGTAGGATCTTTACGGATTTGAATAGAGCTTGAAAAATTAGTTTATAAGTTCTACAACCCTTTTTGATATAATTGAATAGTTTCGAAAATACGTCGGTTGGGGGGACTGGGACTCAGGAATGATTTGCAAACACGCCGTCTTTTATAATGTAAACATGAAGAGTTTCACTGGCGATATAGTTTGCGCTTTTCAAGAAAAAAATGCGGGAACGGTGCGTTGTGTATGGCTGTAGCAACTGGGCGAGTTTTTCTCAAAGTATTTTACGTTATTGGAAGATCGAAGTAAAATTACAAGAACTCGGTTCCTGAGTCCCATGCCCCCGAGCACGACGGAAATTTAGGCAAATCGTCATGTTTAGATGTAAATATTTCCGAAACTATTTAATTATATCAAGAAGGGTTGTAGAACTTATAAACTAATTTTTCAAGCACTATTCAAATCCGTAAAAATCCCACAAGTGATATAGGCACTTTAACAAACTCTTCTTGCGGCCCATGGCGATATGAATTAAAATCTCGGGCTGTTGCCTTTTTATAGCTTTTGCGAAGATAACCTAAGGATAACTAAAACAACCATTCACGTACGTATATTAATAGTCGGACGTCTAAGGGCAAACTTTAGAACGTTTTTGTGCATGGCAGCATATAAAAAGGCAGAGATATCTATCCTTCAAAACAGTATAACTATCCTAAAAATCAAAGTATTATCATGGAAGATTTAGTTGGAATAATTGATATGGACGGGTTTTTTATCGATAAAAAGTTCTACTGTAAAGAATTGGGACTGCTAAACACAAGAAATCAAACGGAATCAAATGGCATGTTCGGAGAAACAAAGGCAATATCATACCTCTTTAAAATCCCTATCCCATGGCAAGAACTAAGTCAAAAAGACAAAAAACAATGCTCATTCGTCATCAATAACATTCATAAACTCCCCTACAACACTCCATCTAACACCACGGAAATACACGAAGCAAGCGAACTAGAAAACATCATCAATACCTTCTACGAAGACGCCCGAGTAAACAAACAAAGCTATCTCGGCTATAAAGGCGGTTCAATCGAGAGAGATTTACTGACAAAACTAAGCATACCTAACATCAACCTGGAGATATTTGGGGCACCGAAACCGAAACAATACGTTCCCTGGATAAAAGCTAACCCGTTTTTAAACAACGAGGAAAAGGCTAATATTATTGAAACATGTGGTAATCACCTCCCTTGCGAAAACGCGTACGAACACTGTCCTAAAGCAGAACTGCAAATATTAAATAACTGGATCCATTGGAATATTATAAATTAACATTGTATTGTTTTCTTACAACATTGTATTCTTATAACTTTTTCAAAATATAGCTTTTCATTAAAAAAGTACATTTGTTTTTGTTTATCCTAGTACAAGTCAAATACCTCCGAATTGAAAAAGGGTCCATTAAATATATCCCTTAAAAAAAGTCTAACCACTCTATCCCATCTCTTTGGTTCCCTAAAAATCACCATGTCCTTCAATGTATTATTAAAACCGCTACATATTTTATATGAAGTAAAAAACCCAAGCGATTGTACACCTTGCGTTGTAAAGTTCATACTCTCCGACATAATATTAATATAAACACTTTTAACTCCGTTCATTATAGATTTATAACTTTGATTTCTCAAACATACACCATAAAGACACTCGT